GTGAATCTTTCCAGATCTTCAAAGACTTTGTAGTCAATGTAGTGGGATAGTACCTCATTGACTCCAGTCAGCACGGGCTGTAGGGTCATCTTGACTAGTTTTATGGATGTGGTCTCCATTTGACCATGCTCATAGAAACAAAGCTTGCATTCCTGAGGCAATTCTCATTTGTCATGGCTCCACTTAAAATAAAAACAACAATAAGACATATGTGCTACTCTTGGCCCACAGGGGGCCATGTCTTTCCAGCTCGTCCCTATCTGTCTCTATGTATCTATCTGTGTGCTCATGGAGCCTCCTGCATATTTCCCCCCCTTCTTCTTGACCCTCTTCTATCCCAGGAGTGAAATCCTCATCTCTCTCATCATCTGAGAGCTCAAACTCTTAATCTCCCTGAACTATCTGGTACAGAAAATGTCTGCTTCAGTTCCGTCTCCTGCAACAATATTGAGTCATAAAGTCCATGAAGATGGTCCTGACGTCCATTATAATGGACATTTATAAAAGAGCTGTTATTTGAAAACTTGAATTATTTAATTGCTTTCAGAACTAATTCTATAGTTCCTCACATACATATTAATAAACAAGAACATATATGATTTTCATGGTAAAAATGACAATTATTCAACAATATTTGACTTCTCCTGCTTCTATAACATTTTGTTTTTGGTATGCCAGCCATTTTGGATGAAAAGAAAGAGGAACTTCCCAGCATGCAATTTTAACCAATTACATCTCACTGGAAAGACCAGGATGTCCTCTGTGCAGTACATCAGGGATTGATAGAGTATCTCAAAAGAGTAAAAGGAGATGCATGTTAACAAAATGTCCACTACAGTGGACATTTTCAATGGGCTGGGTCCCAGGAGGGTATAACCCAGAAACTACGTTTGGCAGATTTACCCATCATGTCAGAGCCAGATAAAAATGACTGGCAGATGATTGGTTGATTGGCTCTCAGTCTGCGAAGTCGGCCTGTAGCCTGCCTGGTTACCGACAGAGATATGTCCAATGCACATGGATTCTGAGAGCAATCAAACTGTCCTTGAAACATTTTGAACAGTTTTCTTATGGGATTAGTTTTGTATCATAAAGATAAAGCAACACTTTCTCAGAATAAAGAAAAACTATGAGTTTAAAAGAAAAAAAAACTAAGTCAAGCAAAATTAAATACATTTCAAAAATAAAACTATAAGTTGCAAACAAATCATTTGTGTAATCATGTAAACTATAAGTATTTTGTCTTTGTTTTAACATAGGTTTTTGTTTGCAGTTCTTGTTTCTTCTTTCTCAATGATCAGACTTTTGCTCTCGCTGCAGCTTTCTCTTTTGTGCTCCCTCACTTTTTGTTTGAGATTTTGACACAAACATCCCAGGTGGGCGGGACTTTCAGGGGTGTGTCCCCATTGGCCCCCGTATGCCCTCAGCTAATGCTAGCATAATAGCTGGCGGCTATGAGCTGCTAAGATTAGCATAAGATATGATTTTTGCCTACTGATAGCTACACATAAACATTAACAACCCTGATAGGATTCAGTAGCCTAAAACAAAGAAAGCTAGTGGTGTCCCTTTCCAAAGAGTTACCACCAAGGAGCAAACTGCCTTAACATTGCAGGGATGGTTGCAATACTGCACTTCTGATACAGGTATTTGAATTACTTATACACTATATATTTTTGTATAGGGTTATTAGTGTAGGACTGGCTGTTTGTATAGCACTTTGGTATCTGCTTAATTATGTAATGAATGCTTTTTACCACCTCCTTATATGCAACAATGGACGGCCTGTTCATTAATGATTAAAATTGAAATCTCTGTTTAACATGATCCTTGATAAGGGTGCAATTTGAGCTCATTATAATGCAGAGAAGGGCAATAAAATAGGAAAAATGTTAAAGGTAACCCTTGTTCTATGACCATAATGTAAGGTGACCAGATTTTCAAAATTAAAACCGGGGACATTTTGAGTTTTGCGGTCAAAATATCACTAACATATCCAATTTTCTTCACTGTTAATTAAAAAAGGGGGACAATTCTGGTTCAATTTAATTTGAACATTTTAACTGTTGGATACAAACAGAAGGACGATTGCTCATATATGAGACTTCCAAGGTATTTTATTTTGAAACTCTACATCAGATTGTCCAGATTCTCTCGGAGTGATTAGATGGGGTGTCCTGCTATCACCCTGAAGTGAAATAAGTATTGGATTGACTTCGAATGACTCTTTGATTATGGACCGTTTCCATTCAATAATAATCAAAATATAGATGGACAATAGATCTAATTTGAGATTTTAAATAGCATACATTTTAAATTGTGCTTCAGAAAGTAATGTTATTTTAGGAGTGTTGTGAAATGGTGTCAACATCAATTGAAATTAGTCACCCAGTGAAAATGTCAGATATATCTTCATAACTGTATAGTTTACATTTTACATTCATTCAGTTATAATGTGGTAGTTATACGTAGTTTGTTTTTACATTATTATTGATCACATTATATAGTACATATTTCTTAATTTAAGCTCCAGTATATATGAATATGTTTGGTGTGTTTTTTAGGTATGTTTGTTATTGACCGAGTAAACGCTTTTATTTTGAAGGCAGTTTTTACAGGCCTCTACCGTAATGCATAGGATATTCGCGCACCGCAATACAACGTGCGGGCTGGCTTGACTGTGTTTTCCGAAGTGGGGGCTGGCTTGACCACAGTCTGTTTACCCAGTGTTTCCTGACATGAAACGTTTTATTTCACCTTGCTATGTGTTTTTAACGTACATTTAAAAAACAGGGACATTTCCGGGGACAGTTTCAACCGGGACAGACCTATACAAACGGGGACTGTCCCCGGAAAACGGGGATGTCTGGTCACCCTACCATAATGGCAAAAAATAACCAGTGTTGTCTTTATGAGACCTGCATTACTCTCATTATAGCCTACAATCACATTATTTGTGTGCATTGTAAACATGATGAGTATTAAACCAGACCCTCTTTACTGGTTCATAATAAATCCCTGAGTGGTAAAATGTATTCTAACTGCTCTAATTCTGTGTTTGCCATCATTGGGTTACTGCTTATAAATCATTCACGTAGTGGGATTCTGCCACCGCAGACTGTATCGACATCTTCATTGGTTCTGTGATGAGAATTAAATCTCATTATTTGTCACGGTTTCACAAACAACTTCAACAGACAGAAGAATTAAGTGAGTTCATATTTGAAGAGATGCTGCTACTGTATTGCCGTTGGAAGTTATATTAAGATGTAATTGTGTGTAGGAATGTATATATGCAGTCATTTAGAAGAGAACAGCATCTGGGGAAGAGGAACATGAATATGGTTATTATTAGAAATGGGGAATAGATGAAGAGGCGGAAGTCCCACTCTACTTTTTAGCTTTAATAATGAAAGGAACCATCTGTTAATAGCTGGAGATGACATAATGTCCCTGTCACTTGTGGAGAATACTTCAGAAACATATTTTTACTCATTAACTTAATGGTTCCTGCTTGCTCTGTATATGAACAATGATGTATAAGGGAATAGTTGAGTAACATTTTGGGAACAGTATGATCAGGTATACTTCAAGACTTCACTAAATAAAGCGGAATAATAGAGGGATGCAGCACTGTAGTTTTTTTGGGTCCTCGTCAAAAAAAGATTTCTTTTGTAGATTTTGGATTATTATAGAAAAAAACCATCTGTTTATGACACGCATTTTGTTCAGCAAGATAACAAAAACACCACTTTTATGTTTTTTTGAAGGTTTAATGCAGCTTTGAAAATAAAAAGCTCACAAAACAGTGAAATGAATTTAACGCTGCCAACACTAAGCTAAAGACTGACTGTTAATGTAATTAAATGTCCGTGACAATCTATATCTAGCCTCATTAAGCCACTTATAAGTAACCACCTTTAACTTAATCTTCCTTAACTCATCTTACATAAAAAACACTTTAAGAAAAGGTAATGCTCTAACATGCTAATTTACAGTTTTTGGACTCATTGCAGCAGCACTATAAAATGTGATAATCTATTTGTTTCACACATACAGTAGAACATTTAAGGCTTTTACTAGAATTTCTCAAACTATTAAATAAAAAACTATGGAATTTGATACAAACATTCATGGTCCCCAGAGGATGAATCCATGAAATATCCGTAAGATTGACATTTAAGGATTTTAGTGAAATGCATTTTATTTGCACCATCAGGTCAATATTTCAATTTGTCTAATACTTTTAATACATGTATTTCTACATACCTTCTTAACGTTATGACGTTACCATTGTTATTTTAGTGTATTCTTCTACCTGTATCAAATGAACACACAGTCACACACATTCACACACTCATCTATCCTCACGCATACGTAACTCGAGACTTACTGTAATGTGTTACCATGTGCAAATGATGAATCCCACAAGGATGTGAATTAATCATGATGGGTATGGTGTTCAGACATACTGCAGACACATTAGGATATCCTCGTGTTTTAAAGAATAAGCGCATTAGGTTGGATTTTTGCTGAAGATATGTAATTCTATTTACAGTAACTATACCAAATAAAAAATATTCTTACTTGTACTGATTCAATTCAACATGTCTATAAAATAGATACATTTTTGGGTGGTTTGTTTACATTTATTGTCGTGCTATTAAGACTCTACTTATCCCTTACACATATCTTTCCAGGTAAAGATATTTAAGAGATACCTTTTCCTTGTATAACATTTGAATATTTGTTCTGTGTGTATGTAGAGTACAACAGAATGCATCAATGGCAAAACATACCATCATAGCTTTGGGTTTAAAGCAATGCATAGTGAGCAATGGTGAACCCTGCTCCCCTGCTCGTCTGCCCTTCTAATATCCTGCAAGGGTGGCGACAGAGAGCTGCAGAAACTAGATTCTCCCTCTCTCTCTCCTCCATCCCGTTATCTGGGCGGAGAAAGAGGGAGAGAGGGTAGACCATCCACCACACTGCCTCTCTGTTTTCACCAACACTCTGAACAGGAACCGGCCGGCTAGTTTATGTCATCCGGACAGATATCCTGACGTGGGGGGGAAGATCTATCAGAACAAAGCGGAAATATTTACAAGTCTACTACTACACACAGTGGAAACCGGGATTGTATGTTGCGTTTCTGCAGTTTTTGGACTACGCTTCCTGCTTCTTCGCCTTGTTGCACTACAGGAGCTCTGAGCTCTCATTGTGGACGGAGCGAGGATCCCCTCCTTTTGTGTGCTCTGCAGTTGTTTATTCAAACTCCAACTTCTGCCTCCCGTTTCCGCAAAATAGGAGGTTTCGTTTCAATTTTTTTTTATTTGTTTCGGCCTAAACGGAATGAATGACAAAAACAAAGGAAGTTGATGTCCATACCTCTCCGGCTGACCTCGTCTTCGCCTCGGCCAAGGAACGGAGGCTCCATCTCCGGCAGAAGATGGACAGTGGAGGCGGGGCGGAGGGCTCGGACAGCGGGCAAACTCAGCACGCGGTGCCCGGGCAGCAGCAGCCAACCCACCGGCCTGAAACCGCGGAGCTCTCTGCGGCGGTGTCAGCTCAGCCTTCAGGCAAGAAGAAAAAGATAAACCGGGCTCCCTCCCCGGCCAGACCGAAGGATGTACCCGGTTGGTCGCTCACCAAGATTCGCGGAGGGATTGGGACCCCGACTCTGAGCGTCAAGCCGGGAGGCATTCACCTGGGCAGCCGCATTTCCCGGCGCAGCCCCGTGGGAAGTCTCGCTGGAAAGGAAGGTAAAGCGGATAAGAGCAAACCGGCGGGCAAATCATCCTCAGCCTCGTCTAAAACGGCCAACGCAGTGAAAAGCACCGGGGGTCGGCGTAAGGTTTCGGACGCCAGCACAGGCTCCGACGATTTATCTAAGGACTCCGGCTGTGCCACCGGGAAGCTCTCCCCGACCGACAGTAGCTCCGAGCTCTCGGACTGCGCCTCCGAGGAAAACAAGCTCTCAGCGGACGCTGTGAGTAGCGACGCCGAGTCGAGAAGCAGCCGAGGCGGGGGGCTAGACGGAGACAAGCCGCTCAGGGATGGCGTGTTGGCAAAAAGAGCTAGCCAACATGCCACCGCCAGGACCACCTGCTTCTCCTCGGAGAGGGACTACAAGGACCGGCTCTCCCTGGCCGTGGAGACAGGGGAAGGGAGCATATCCCCAGGCGAGGAGCGCTCGGTCACCTCGTTTGACAGCAGGGTGCCCCCCAGCACATCCCTGGCTTTCTCAGACCTCACAGAGGAGTTTATGGACGGCATGCATGAGGAGTTTGTACGGGAAATAGAAGAACTGAGATCTGAGAATGATTACCTCAAGGTAAGTCCAATATATTCGACTAAGTGTCAACTATGATTGTGACTAAATGTCCCATGGGTTTTTCAAATGACAAACATAAACAAAAGGCCTAACCGGCCTATTTTATTGTAATGTTGCTTTTTGGCCTATATGCTAAAACTATTTATCATGAGCATGGTGTAATATAAAGTCAGTTGAGTTCAGTTTGTTCACTATGATTTGCTTCCTAGAGTGTAGAAATGCCTTTGGACTCCATCCAATGCTACTCACTACAGGGATGATGATGTTATGATTAGAGAGCATGCAACCCCGCAGACACATGAAACACATGAGCAAAACATAGCCTTGCAGCCTCAACATGGCATGGATCATATGGAATATCAACACATGCAATTTTTAAGATGTAAACAAGTAAAATATGTGTGGATGTAGTATTTTGCAGGTAGTGCCTTTTCAACATACTTTGCCAGTCATTGTTGTCAGCTCACATGATGGAGGAAAGGACTCGGTAATTTTACCCATCAGCCTCGGGGTTGTCAGCTGCAGCCTGCAGAGAAATCTGTCTTGCTGCTAATTTAACAAGGTGTTATATTTACATTTGTATAACAGGGAGTAACTATCCTGTGATTGTCTAGTTTCAGGGTTGTTTCCATCCTGAGAAGAGTAAAATACTCTGGGAAACATGCATTATCGCCTCCAAATTTCAGTTTTGAATGTTTTTTTAGACATGAAACAGTTAAAATAACTTGTCGAGGAACATATTATTTTTGTCAAATTGAAAAACCCCAATGCTTCAGCAACCAGCCCAACCCTACATCATCGCTACCCTCAGTGGGATGGCATGTCAACAGAGGCCTGTACTACGAAGCTGGTTCAACATAACCTGGATATGTTTGAGTTAGCCGGTTGGCCTAATCCAAAACATACGCGCTCTCGTTAAACGGTACTACGACGCGGGTTATCAAACTGTGGATCGCTCAAGCCAGCCGTGTCCTATCTAGTTAGGTGCGCGTTCACATGAAAGGGGTGGTATTTGGAGCATTCGACCAATCACAAACATGGACAAGCGTACTGACAGCGCAGCGCGTCATACTTCCTGAATGAAAAGTCAACTATAATATTAGACATATGAAGAAGTTAAACTTTAAACATCCATGACTTAAACACTTTATCCAGGATAAAATCCACATAGGCCTAGTTGCACCTGCAAGGTGAATACAGCTGGTAAAAGAACAAGTGTTTGACAGGTTTATGATATCACTGCCCCGTCTAAGACACGATCTGACTTTTAATTACATTTGACTCGAGTGTTTCGTCAACTTACTGTGTTGCTTAAAATAATACTTCTGCATACAGTATGTGACACTGTGAGTGTTGCACGGCTAGATACGGCTCAGCTGACTCGGATAAGGACATATATGATACATTATGATGTGATATGCCGCGGACTGTACTGTTACTTTGATCCGGTTACTTATGTTGTGGCAGATATTTAATTAAGCTTTCTTAACGCTAATGTTATAATAGTCAGATTGCTCTGAAGATGGGAGGTGATATTCTTGTTCACGTTCACACATGTCGGTGATTTTTGCCGGCCGTCTTTCCTACAACGGCAATTTCCTTTCTCCTGTAATATGACTTGATCGCTTTAAACTCCGCACACTGAGCTCTGATTGGTCAGCAGGCAGTGCTTTCACTGTGTAGATCTCTTAGCCTGCAACCTAACCTGCTCCGGACCAGGGGGGTATACTACGAAGCAGGATTTTCGTTTAGCTAGATAACTTCTGGGATTTCCGGTACTACGAAGCTGGTTCACTTTTTAGCGGTCTAGATCTCGATGGTGACTTATCCTGGAACCTAGTCTGTGCTCCAAAGCAGGATAGGTTCCAGGATAAGAGATCAACTCAGCGAAAGCACCACGCCTGCTGACCAATCAGAGCTCAGTGTGCGGAGGAAATACAGTTTAAACTGCCGTTGCAGGAAAGACGGCCGGCCAAAATCACCGACTGTGTGAACGTGAAAATGAATAGAATGTCACCTCCCATCTTCAGAGCAATCTGACTATTATAACTATTATACTATTAGTCTATGTTAAGAAAGCTTAATTAAATATCTGCCACAACATAAGTAACCGGATCGAAGTAACATTACGTAGCCTATAGTCAGCAGCACTGTGAGTGCAGACGTCGATGTGTCCCATTATCATTCATATCACATCATATCACATCATAATGTATCATATATTTCCTTATCTGAGTCAGCTGAGCCGTATCTAGCTGTGCAACACTCACAGTGTCACATACTGTATGCATAAGTATTATTTTAAGCAACACATTAAGTTGACGAAACACTCGACTCAAATGTAATTAAAGTCAGATCCACTCGTGTCTTGGACAGGGCAGTGATATCAAAAACCTGTTAATGTACATTCAAACACTTGTTCTTTTACCAGCTGTATTCACCTTGCAGGTGCAGCTATGTGGCTTTTATCCTGGATAAAGTGTTTAAGTCATGGATGTTTAAAGTTTAACTTCTTCATATGTCTAATATTATAGTTGACTTTTCATTCAGGAAGTATGACGCGCTGCGCTGTCAGTACGCTTGTCCATGTTTGTGATTGGTCGAATGCTCCAGATACCACCCCTTTTATGTGAACGCGCACCTAACTAGATAGGACACGGCTGGCTTGAGCGAACGAGTTGATAGCCAGCGTTGTAGGACAGTTTAGCGAGAGCGGCTTTGTTTTGGATTAAGTCAACCGGATAACTTAAAACATATCCAGGATAGGTTGAACTAGATTCGTAGTATACCGCCCAGGTTAGCCGCACAGCATAAGTTACCATGGAGATCTAGCCCGCTAAAAAGAGAACCGGCGTCGTAGGACCGGAAACCCCAAGTTTTCCCTGAAGTTAGCCGGCTAAGCGAAAATTCTGCTTCGTAGTGATAGGCCTCAGGTGTTGTTACTAAAGGCATCTCTCAGCTCCCACAGGTCCACATGCAGTGGAATGTAATATGAATCCACCAGCAAGCCAATAAGGGTGATTGGTTAGGGGAAGGATCAATTATATTAGCATGTCTCTAAGCACTAACTGGCAGGTACCAGACAAGACAATAATTGTCAGAGATTGATTGTGGAGGGTGATTGATCAACAGCACTCGCCTCATCAGGAGGACCACCTCTTCTTTTCTCAGGGAGCGCTGCAACAGTGTTGGAGAATCCTGATTCTTGCTCTAAACACACAAGCAGTAAAAGGTTTTCTATTCATTTGTATGGTGATGTTGATGCATTTACTTAATTTCAACCACACCTGGGGGGTATACTGCGAAGCAGGATTTTCGCTTAGCCGGCTAAATTCAGGGAAAACTCCGGCTTTCCGGTCCTACGAAGCTGGTTCTCTTTTTAGCAGGCTAGATCTCCATGGTAACTTATGCTTAGCGGCTAACCTGGTCGGGACCAGGTTAGGTTGCAGGCTAAGAGCTCAACTCAGTGAAAGCACTGCCTGCTGACCAATCAGAGCTCAGTGTGCGGAGTTTAAAGCGATCAAGTCATATTACAGGAGAAAGGAAATACAGAAAAGCTGCCGTCGCAGGAAAGACGGCCGGCAAAAATCACCGACTGTGTGAACGTGAACATTAATAGAATATCACCTCCATCTTCAGAGCAATCTGACTATTATAACATTAGCGTTAAGAAAGATTACTTAAATATCTGCCACAACATAAGTAACCGGATCAGAGTAACATTAAGTACAGTCCGCGGCATATCACTTCATAATGTATCATATATCTCCTTATCTGAGTCAGCTGAGCCGTATCTGGCTGTGCAACACTCACAGTGTCACATACTGTATGCAGAAGTATTATTTTAAGCAACACATTAAGTTGACGAAACACTCGAGACAAATGTAATTAAAGTCAGATCGTGTTTTAGACGGGGCAGTGATATCATAAACCTGTTAATGTACGCATTCAAACACTTGTTCTTTTGCCAGCTGTATTCACCTTGCAGGTGCAGCTATGTGGCTTTTATCCTGGATAAAGTGTTTAAGTCATGGATGTTTAAAGTTTAACTTCTTCATATGTAATATTAAAGTTCACTTTTCATTCAGGAAGTATGACGCTGCGCTGTCAGTACGCTTCTCCATGTTTGTGATTGGTCGAATGCTCCAAATACCACCCCTTTCATGTGAACGCGCACCTAACTAGATAGGAAACGGCTGGCTTGAGCGATCCACTTGATAACCAGCGTCGTAGTACCGTTTAGCGAGAGCGCGTATGTTTTGGATTAGGCCAACCGGCTAACTCAAACATATCCAGGTTAGGTTGAACCAGCTTCGTAGTATAGGCCCCTGCTGCTCTTGTAAAACACAAGCAAGGTTGTCTTAATGAAATACACTTGCAATATTCAAAAAATACAATGACACAGGTTGATTATCATGACATATTCCACTATAGGCTTACTTTTTGTGATCCTAGCCAGCGTAATAATCAGGATAAATGCTTTATATTATCTATACCTGATAAGTGTTGATTAGTTTGCCATATCAAACAAAAAACGTCAACATTCCCTGTTCCATCTTCTCAAATGGTAGCATTTGCTGCAAACCAATGCTAATCAAAAAGCTATGATTTTGGAATGCTGTTGGGGAACAGATGAGCAATTTCAATACGTTTTTCACTTTTTTGTATATCTTCATACAGAGATACTCATTAGTCGTTGCCCTAAATGATTACTAGTTTGCTAGCATAAAGTATTTTCAGCTGTTAGTTATATTCAAAGGGCTGCAAAGATAAGACAGATGCATCATTAGTAGGTGCAGTGCACATTTTCTGCTGCCTGATTATATAGGACAGCATGAAACAGAGCTACCTTATTGGACCACCCCAAAGCCTCATGGGAGGCCCGTCAGTGGGGTGAGTGTTTGTGTCTGTAGCTTCAGCTGTGAGGAACACCTGGGGGGTATACTACAAGCAGGATTTTCGCTTAGCCGGCTAAATTCAGGGAAAACTCCGGCTTTCCG